TTAAATATTTTTCTTATTATCTGTGCCTCTATTTTTCTCTATTCTTTTCCTCTCTGCCACTCTTCCTCTGACATATAAGTTTCCATAACTAAGAAAATAACTAGCAAATCTTCATTTTTCTCAGATGCAATCTTATATTTCTGAACAGCTAAAGAGTTGAAAAAGCAAATGAAGTTACTAAAAACAATATATTAGTCAAATTAATATTACCTCAAAACTTGATCCTGTTGGTGTGTAAACCATTAACCTTTTTTTTAAAAAAATAGCTTTTATTTATTTTTTATTTTATTTTTTAATTTTTAATTTTTATTTTTTGTGAGGAAGATCAGCCCTGAGCTAACATCCATGCTAATCCTCCTCTTTTTGCTGAGGAAGACCAGCTCTGAACTAACATCTATTGCCAATCCTACTCCTTTTTTTCCCCAAAGCCCCAGTAGACAGTTGTACGTCATAGTTGCACATCCTTCTAGTTGCTGTATGTGGGACGTGGCCTCAGCAAGGTCGGAGAAGCGGTACGACGCGGTGCGCGCCTGGGGTCCGAACCCAGGCCGCCAGCAGCACAGCGCGCGCACTCCACCGCTAAGCCACGGGGCCGGCCCACCATTAACCTTTTGGAAATGACTGACTTTGCAAATATATAAGATTTGAATTTAGTTCCCTCAAACTAAATTTAGTAAACAATTTCCTAATGGCCACAATAGGATGATTTCTCTCCAGTTCATCAGAAAATGTTTTAGATAAGAAAGAATTTTCCTGAAAAAATTTCGCCACAACTATGGACAAAATTTCCAAAACAGATAAATCTTAAATTTCAAATCTGCCGTGAGCTATGTTTTTGGTTTTTTCCACCCTATTCTCCATCTCTACATAGATCAGACAGATTCACAATAATACCCTTGTCAGTTTCAAAAGACAGGTCAAGGCCAAAACACATGACAACTAGAGTGGTCTTTTCTGAAGGTCTTTATAATGACTTAAGTTAACTCTTTAGGTGAAAATATAACCAGGAATAATGCCTATATTATCTATGTCTACACAGAGAAACAATCTACATCTTACATTTATAAAAACAAGTTAATGTAGTCTTAATTATTAATGAATACAATTAAGAAGGCTCCAATGATATTTGTTTATAAAGTCGTATTTTTGAACCTTTACCTAAATCCCATAATTTGAGTTGATGTTCCAAATAAGAGAAACTATGTTCTCACTAGCAAACATGGAAAGTTCAATTAAAACCATTCTTCCAGCCTGAATATGCATTAAAATAAAGTACCATCATATTTAATATTTAGACTTTCACACAATCTTTGGCTTTTTATTTAAGAATCATGCCAAGTTTTTTTCAATAAAGAATCTCCTTATTAAACTGTTCATGTTCATTTTAAGTAGAATTACATATAATTGTATGATACATCACCCAAAAGCAAAACAAAATATTTCAGCTATTGAATTTTCAAACTTATTCTATCAATTAAAAATATACGCTTAAAATAGATATTTTTCAAAGGAAAGACGGTATTTATACGATTTCTGGGTCACCAGGAATGAAATTTCATTCTTATAGATTTGAGCTGGATTTCCAAATACGATCTTTTGTGAAGTTCTAATGGTGACTGAGCTTCAACATATTAAAATCTATATTAAATCTATATTAAATCCATAAATTCCAAGCAAATAAAAATATCTTAAATAAAAATATTCTTAAAATAATCATAAATGATAATTCTAATTTCTATGTGTTATCTTCTACCAAATGAAATTTTAAATTTTATTAAACTTTATCATCATTAAATTATTTCTGTAGCAGTATCTAAAAGTGCAAGTATAAGTATCACCTACAAACCAAAAATATTTAATAAGAACTAAATTTATAGCTAAAGCACCTTCCAGACAAATACTTACCCAATCATCGCTGTCTCTTTAACTTCAGCCTCTGTGCCATTTATAACTGAGTCCTGATTTTTGTCATCTTCCCTGTCAGTGACATCACTTGAAAAGCCCAACAAAGCTCGCACTCGTTTAGATTTCACATCTAGAATAGTATCTGTGTAACCCACCTCCTGTAGATACCTGTGTGTGAAGAGGATCTTTACAATTTAGTCATATTAAAATCAGTATTTTATAACTTAATATGTAAATAAAAGTATTTCTTTAAATTCATTGCCTGCATAAGACTTAACAGTACAGTACTATGCTAGTAAGACTTGCTAATAAATACTCTTCCAGCTGCAGATGAAGCTGTCGCTTGCAGTACCAGCCTCTATGGTCACTGAGAAAAATCAAAGAACCATACAATACGCCATTCATTACATTTATCATAAGACGAAGTTGTTCTGTAATATACCTAATATCACATTCTTTCTCCTAGGCAGGGTTGGAGTAAACTCATTCTTCGATTCTACTGAACTACTATTTTACAATAGTAATTATTATAACCAGTAGTCTTCTACATTTCTGATGTAAAGTGTCACTGGATCAACTGTTTGAGACCCAGAATGGTTCTAGCACTTATATAGTTTCCTCCATCACATACAAGAACATAGTGTATTCCAAAGAGTCACTTCTACAGAAGAAAAGCTTCTATCTTGAGACAACTCCAGAAATAGGCCACAATTCAATTGTGGGATGTGGGGTACGTGGGTGCACAGGAGGGTGTGTGTTGCAGAGAGGCAGCAGCACAGAAAACAGGATGGGCTTTGTATTGCGAGTTAGACCTGGTTCTAAAGCCCATTTCTGCCATTCTCTTCCTGTGTAACTTTAATTCTCCTGAACCTGTTTTCTTCCCCCTGAAACAGACACACCTAGTACAGTGCTTGGCATACAGAAGGCACTCAATCTCAACAAAGGTGATCAAAAAAGATCAAAATTGGTAGTGGCAGAAACATGAAAAAGGGCAAACGTCATTAATAATGTCATTAATAAACATGACAGACAAATGTTAGGCATGAACTTAAAAGTAAGCATCAAGTCTATTAGATGAAAGAGAAAACAAAGGTAGACAAGATAACTCATCTAAGGTCAGTTTATTTCAAGATCTTGTATTAATAGCTGTTATAGCTCAGCAATATCTCACAAAGATATGAGACCAAAATGGAATAACTGCGTCGTATCAAATCAAGATACTCATTTGCAGTCCTATCCAATATTTATAGAAAGGTTTTGATTAAAATTTGGATAATAAATTTCTAACTTTCCTGAATTTAATCAGTTCTTGCAAACTAACACAAAGGTGTTATGTTTTTCTATTTTTAACAAATAATATTTGATATATACCTCACTTTGGCAACAAAAATCACTTTACAAATAACTGTTTCAAAAACTGCTCTTCTCATAGACAAGTTAGCTTCGCTAAATAGTTACTTCCTCATTGATTGATAAAATGTCACCTTTACTTTGAGGGGCAAATTATGCGTCTTTTAAAGTTTTTGAAAGTTATCTCTTGGATTGCTCACTATGATAACCACTTCTCATAAAAAAGAAATCAGCACTTTAAGAACACTTTTTTATTTATAAAAGAAAAATGCATAAATCATACTTAAGACCAAAGAGAGGACACTAGTGAAAACCCACTTATTAAATATTAGTGAAGTCTCATTTTCTTCTAACTGTGAGTAGATAAAAAATAGATATGAGGAGATGTTTTAATATCCTCTTCCTATCGTCAAAAGGAATGGCAAGCATGCATCCACGCTGGAAACCACAGGTTTAGATAATTCATAAGCAAGCTCAAAAGTCCAAAACAGGTAGCACATTTCATTTTACTGAGGCACAAATCTAAATACAAGTTTCAAATGTGATATGCAAGGACCAGGCACTGAGCTGGTGTGTGGGTCTAGCCCACCACCCAACATCTGAACCTCAACCCAGCTTAGTTCTCTCTTAATAGTCTCAAATACACATTTTATAGGAGAAAGTATATGTCAGTGCAATATTTGCAAATTTGGGAAATTCAAGAAGTTCTTCAATCTATTTAAAATAGAAAGCTTAAAAACATAACACAAAATTACATGTAAATATTGATTAGACTTATAATAAAACATTATGTGTATTCATGTATAAAAGATGCAAAGAAAAGAGTAACTTTAAGGGTATAAAACTCTTTAAACTTTAAATTTAAGTGTATAATAAAATTTAGAAGCTTAAAATTGTACTTTTTGATGAAGCTAAAACTATAGAAAGAGAATTTATTCTTGATAATTCTTATTAATATTTAATGAAAAATAATTCCACCACAGGGGAAACAGTGTTTAATATGAAAAAGGAACAGTAATTCAATTAAGCTTTTTCACAGCAGCAGCAGAATAATATAAGAGATAAAATTATTCTACTGAATTTAAAATACAAAATAAAAATAATCTCATTAAAATATCTTCTCTTTAGTTTGACAATGGCATACTCACTGTCTGAGTAGTTGTCGACCTTGTTTCCACATTAACTGGCTGTTCTGTTGTGGCTGCATGTCTGTTTCATTGCCTTCATCTGGAAAACATTGTCATAAAATTGACTTGTTATATACATTAGAGGGCATCTCGATTCATAAAAAAAGTCCAATAAAAATTTAAAAGATGAAGAATATGTAAAACTGCACTGTCATGTATGTTTTAGAGCAATGTAAATTCTGTTTTTAAGTCTCATTTCCATAACAAAACTAATATAAATTCATTTTTGCTACTGGATCCCCCTGAGAGTAGCAGAACTAAAATAATGACATTTTCCTGATGTTTAGGTAGGCTGAGAATTTTTCTCCAGGACAAAGACCTATCCAACTTAAGTCACACACGAACAGTCAAATAAAAGTACTATGAAGCACCACATTAGAATTAGAACAAAAAATCCAAGAATAATGGTTAAAAAAAAAAAGCCAGGGGCCGGCCCCGTGGCTTAGTGGTTAAGTGCGCGCGCTCCGCTGCTGGCGGCCTGGGTTTGGATCCCAGGCGCGCACCGATGCACCGCTTCTCCGGCCATGCTGAGGCCGTGTCCCACATACAGCAACTAGAAGGATGTGCAGCTATGACATACAACTATCTACTGGGGCTTTGGGGGGAAAATAAGTAAGTAAATAAAATCTTTGGGGGAAAAAAAAAAAAGCCAGTTGGGGAAAGAGTAGATAGATAAATAATCTCAACCCAAATCTATTTCCTTTATTAGTTACTAAATGAAAATCTCAAGTATTCTTTTTAAGACATTCTTTGAATGAAAACTTCCTAAGCCTTGTAAAGCTTAAATTCATCATTTGGTAGAAGCTGACTCCTTTCAAGAAGGTGGTAAAATAAAAAGAGGGTTCTCCATGATCAGTCTGGACTAAAGAATTTCCAAACTACACTACAGCTCAACTTCAAAAATACAAAAAAGTTCACACTTTCCATCAGCCCTTGATCAAACTGTAAGAAACTGTGATCTTTATAGGGTTTTATTCAAGTGGAAATATGAGAGAGACTGGGAAAACTTGTTTTATGATATTTAAGCATGTACTGTGTTCTAGATGCTGCGTTAAAAACATAGACATTATCTCTCTTAATCTTTACAACCTCAAAAGATAGGTGTTATGGGGCTGGCCCAGTAGCCTAGTGGTTAAGTTTGTGCACTCCACTTCAGCAGCCCGGGGTTCGCAGGTTCGGATCCCAGGCATGGACCTACGCACTGCTTATCAAGCCATGCTGTGGCAGGCGTCCCACATATCAAGTAGAGGAAGATGGGCACGGATGTTAGCCCTGGGCCAATCTTCCTCAGCAAAAAAGAGGATTGGCAACAGATGTTAGCTCAGGGTTAATCTTCCTCACCAAAAAAAAAAAAAAGATAGGTGTTATTACCACCCCCCTTTTAAAGATGAGAAAGATAAGTTTTATAGGGTAATTTAAGGTTTCTAAGGTAGAAATACGGTTGTGTTGAAATCATGTTTGCCTGATTCCAGAGCTCATGTATTTTCCTCCACATGCTATCACTACAATGAAGAGAAATTAGAGAAATATGTAAATAAAAATTAGATTCTGCATTTTCATTTTTCTCCTAAAATAACTAGGCCAAGCTCTGTGATATACCAAAAAAATAGCAGTCGAGTAGATGTGTGTGTGGGGGGGGGGGTTAAGTTAACTCAAAAAGGAAGATTACCTTGAGATAACTTCAAAGAGGATATACTTAAAAAACACACAAAAACAATATCCCACTACTAAGGAAAAACAATATATCTTGTTTCCACTGTCCCACAAATTCAGGAGTTGTATATATAACATAGTATGTTCCAATATATTCCCTTCTTAAGTCAAGCAAGTAACCTGTACTTGCCAAGTAAGAACATTTACACTTAAATTTCAAAAGACTATAAATTTTAGATGTGGAAGAACTTTTGAGGCCATCTAATTTCCCATCAAAATATGCCTAAATCCTTTCTATACCATCCTCAGATATACTCAACCGCTTTGCCTACTTTGGCAGGTAGTGATGTTACCAAAGTAGGGTACACCCATTCAATGGAATACTTCTCAACAAGAACAAGGAATAAACTACTGATACACACCAACACATGTAAATCTCAAATGCATTAGGCTAAATGCGAGAAGTTACAATCAAAAGGCTACATTCTGTATGACTCTGGAATTCATATGACTTTCTGGAAAAGGCAAAACTATAAGAACAGAAAAGAGATTAGTGATTGCCAGGGGATTAGAGTGGGGAGGAAAGGACTGACTACAAAGGGTAGTAGTAACAGGACTGTATGTGTCTGTGAAAACACTAAAAAGCTGAATTTTACTGTATGTAAATTATACCTTAATAAAAAATGTTAGCCAAATCAAATAAGAATGCATCCTCACCCTCTTAAAAAAAGTTTATTCTTATACAGAGGTAAAACCTGACTCCCTGGGTAACACCTGACTTAAAAAAAGAAAAAAAAGTCTGAGGTTAAAAAAGAAAAAAGCTCTTGCACAGGTGAACTTGATTTTCCCCACACTTCCTTATCCAGGCTAAAAGCACAGTAAGCAGTCATCAAGTATCAGATTCATTCTTAGCTTATCAAGTTCAAAAAGTGACATTAGACAAAAGTGAGAATTTTAAAGTGGATAAGAGTTGAATTTCTTGGTAATATTAAAAGTATTTAACTGGCACTTCCAGTCAAGTTGAAATAACAGGGACCTAATTTATCCTCCTGCTTGAAACAACTATAAAACAAAATAGATGACACAATGGTTAAGACACTGGGCATTAGGCAACAGAGGACTGTGATCCTTGAGAGAAGGGAAGCAAACAGGAGAGCCCTATGATTGTTCCAGCTTACTACCTTGACAGATCTTTCAGATTATAGCAAAGAAAGGGGAAACAAAAACAGCATCTGAAGAAATAATGGCAGAAAAGATCCAAATTTCATGAAAACTATAAACCCACAGATACAAGAAAACAAATCCCAAGCACAAAAAACATTGGGTGGGGGTGGGGTTGGGGATGGAGGCACTACACCAAAGCACATCATAATAAAATTGCTTAAGGGGCGGGCACGGTGGCATAGCGGTGAAGTTGTTGCGCTCCACTTCAGTGGCCCGGGTTTGCCAGTTTGGATCCTAGGCACGGACTGACGTACCACATGTCAAGCCATGCTGAGGCGGCGTCCCACATAGAGCAACTAGAAGGGTGTACAACTATCACACACAACTATCTACTGGGGCTTTGGGGAGAGAAGAAAACAGGAAAAAGGGAGGAAGACTGGCAACAGATATTAGCTCAGGGCCAATCTTTCTCAAAAATAGATGAATAAATAAATATCTTAAATCCAATGATAAAGAGATAAATCTTAAAAAGTAGCCAAAGAAAAAAAGATCACATTATACACAGAGGAACAAAGATAAGCATGACAGAAGATACCTCATCAGAAACAATGCAAGCAGCAAAACAGAGAATTTTTCAGATGCACAAAAGCTGAAAGAATTCATTATCAGCAGCCCATATTACAAGATATGTTAAAGAAAGTCCTTAAGGCAGAAGGAAAATGATACCAGAAAATATGAATCCACAGAAAGGAATTGAGCACTGGAAATATATACTTTTTATATTATTTAAATCTCTTTAAAAGAGAACTGTTGAAATAAAAATAATAATGTTGTGTGTGGTTTATAATATACATAGAAGTAAAATATATGAAAACTATTACACAGAGAGGAGAGATGGATGTTAAGGTTCTCATACTACACATGAAGTGGTATACTGTCGCTTCAAGACAAACTGTGATAAGTTAAAAATGTATACTACAAAACCAAACCACTAAAATAAGTTTTAGCTAATAAGTCAGCAAAAGAGATAAAATGGAATCATAAAAAAATACTAGATTAATCCAAAAGAAATCTGAAAAAAAGGAAAAGAACAGATTGAACAAATAGAAAACAAACAGCAAAGGTAGTTAAGTAGCTTTAAACCTAACCATATCAATAATCACATTAAAAGTAAATGGTCTAAATATCTCAATTAAAAGGCAGAATTTGTCACTTTGGATAAAAATATTCTATTTTTAATAAATATCTGGCTTCTAATATTAAATAGGACAAACTCAAATATGGAAGATAAACAGACTTATTAACATAACCCAGATTAATATCCTCCTGAAGTAGAAATGTGAAAGTTTGGAAGTGGAGCAAAGAAAAGAAAGTCAGAGGGGTAATGAATTTTTTGTGAAAAAAGTTTCAGAAAATGTCTGGATTATCAGTTAGGAAAAATACAGCAAATGGATAAAAGAACAAAGAATGGAAAAATCCCTGCTTCTCTAAGGTTTACCTGTTTGGATATACCACCTTCTACCCTCTCCTAGTTACTGTCCTTATCCTGTCATCTACAAATCCCTTGATAATCAGGCTCACAGGCTTCCTCAGCAACCAAACTTTCACATCATCTTGAGTGAAGTTAATATTCATGTGGGTGACCCACTTCAGCCTCTCCAGAACCACCACCCTCTGTAGCCGTCATACTTAGATCTTGTCATTATGAGGAACTGTCACAGAAGCAAACTCACTCTCTAAGCACATCCTTCCAGCTCAATATTCTCAATTCCCTAGTTCTTTGATTTAGCTGGGACCTTAGACCAGGGGCCAGCAAATTACAGCCTGCAGGTCAAATCCAGCCTGCCACACTCATTCATTAATGTATTGTGGCTGCTTTTATGTTATGACGGCAGAGTTGAGTAGCTGCAACAGAGAACATGTGGCCTACAAAGCCCAAATATTACTATCCCGCCCATTACAGGAAAAGTCTGCTGACCTGCTCTAGTCCACAGCCTATCCCCTTACTTTTAGCCATTAGCCTCCTTTTGTCTTCACTTCCTTCTCTCTAGTTTTAGTTCATGGTGTATCACTTCAACCATTCTTTTGCCAGTGTCCTCAATTTTCTTGCCTTCTATGTAAACTCATGATCACAGACTTCAACTGGACCCTTAGCTTTTATCAATCCTACTATTTCTTAGTCAGTTTGTCCTCCTGTTCATTATTCTTTTAAACCTTCTCTACTTTCTTAAACCTCTGACACACTCTTACCAGATAAACCTGTCTCATACATAAAGCTATCATTATTAAATACCCACCACCAAACTGAAGCCCAAACCTACAGACCCATCACCTAACTTCCTAAATTCTCTCTTGGTAACAATAAAAGACATGCTCCCCCTGCCATTCTCCAGCTATGTTCAGAATCCAATCTCTATCACTTTTTCAGATACCTTCCTATTTTGAGTATCTCTACTCTCTCCCTTGTATTTGCTCCTCCTCTAAGAAACACATCACACACACACCTCACACACACACACCTCACACACACACACAGGCAGATTTCCTTGACACCATGTGTTCCTTCAGCTATCACTCTCTAACCCTTCTCCCTCACCTTTACAACCTAAGCTTCCTGAAAGTTGACTACACTTAGTCTTCATTTTCCACTCATGTCTTTGTTTCTGCCCTCACCTCTCTCCTAAAACTGCTCACAATAAAGTTCTCAGTGACCTGTGTGTCACTAAATCCTGGAGATACTCTTGAGCCCTCTGGGCATCAATCAATAGGGCTGAAGGGTCCTTCCTTCTGGAAACCCTCTCTTCTCTTGGTTTCCTCCTACCATTAAGATAATCCTTATTAGTTTCCTTTTAATTTTCTATTCTTCTACCAGTTTTTTAAATGTTGTCATTCCTCAGGGTTCCATTTTAGGTCCTCTTCCATTCTGCATAAGGTCCCTGCATGAGTTCTTCCACTCCAATGGCTTTGAGCATCAGCAGTACTATATGCCAGTGCCCCTCAAATAGACATATCAAACCCATACCACTTGACTGAGTTCCAGACCCACACGTCCAACTGTCTAACAGCCATCTTCACTTGATTGTCTAACAAATAAATCCAAAAGTGAACCCACCATTTCCCAAACCTACTTCTGGTTTAGTTTTTACTAAAAGTATGTGAGTCATCTTTGATTCTCCCTTTTTTTTTCATCCCCTACATCCAACCAAACAAGAACTAATTCCTGCAGATTTTACACATCCAAATGAGAAATAATTCCTGCAGATTCTACCTCCTAAATATTTCCTGAACACATTCACTTCTCTTCAACTCCATTGTTAGTAACCTTGTCAAGGTAACCTTCCTCATTTACCTAGGTGGCTGTAACAGTCCTCTAACCAGTCTCCCCATCTCCAATTTTGCTCCTCTCTAACCCATCTTCCACACTGCTGTCAGTGTGATCTAAGAGCACATCCGATCACAACAGTCCTAACTAAGATCCTTCAAATGCCTTCTCATAACTATTAGGATAATGTGTGAACTCCTTAACGTATTTTACAAGATCTTTATAACATATTTTACCATTTGCCCCCCTGGCTAACTCTCTAGCTGCATACAGAAACACTCCTTCCCTCCCTCCCACTGCTATCCAGTTATGTTGTTTCTCAAATGCGCCATGTTCTCACTTCAGAAACTTTACTGCTAGCACTCTGCCTCTGCCACCTCTCATTCAACAAATATTTAGTCAGTCTACTTGCCCTGGCTAATTTTTACTTGTCCTTTAGATGTCAACTTTAAACATCACTTCCAGTAAGAAGCCTTCCTTGACCACTTAAGATTAGATTTGGTTCCCCTGCTATTGTGCTCCATAACACCTATTACACTTCCTCATTATACATGTCATTTTACTGTGATCACTTTTTTCTTACCTTCCCTGTAAAAGTCCAACAGGGCATTGTTATCTTATTCACAGAATTTGGTGCTGGGTCTAGTAAGCATTACATATTTAATATTTATAAGATGAACAGGTAGTTTGAATGATCAATAGAATGATATTAGGTACTAACTAGGTATTGTATACTAAGAAAACAAACCTGGGAGTTAGGAATTATTTCCAGAATTCTTCCCAGTTTACAGATAAGGAATGGAGCGATCTCAGAGAGATTAAGTATTATCACAGGTATCTAAAGCATCAGGGCAGAGTCAAACTTATATGTATCTGATTTCAAAGCCCAAACTTTTTCTACTGAGCCACACTGGTTACTTATACACATTTTGTATATATTGCAACTACGCCTTTAAACTCCTAAATTGATATCTAAAAATTAGGAAACAAACTTTTTTACATAAAAGTACTGATTAAAATCACTCATTTGAATCAGACAATATACTTTTAGGACAGTCTTTAACAAATAGCCTAGATAAAAAAAAAATTTTTTTTTAAATTTAAGTGCATCTCCAGGTAAAAGAAGAGACACCAAAGTAAAAAATAAAACACAAAGAAAAAACATGTCCCAGCAATCAATTGTTATTGCTCTAAATCTCAAGGATTCAATATTCAGCTGTGAAAACGTGTTCATAACATTATTACACTGAATTGAACTATAAAATTGGTAGCACATTCAGAAGTTATTTTGTAAAGTTCTTTCATAAATTGTCAAATATAGAAGCAGTGTGGTAAAATGGGAAAAATATGAGTTTTGGAGTCAGACCTGAGTTCAGATTCATATGCCCTTTAGTTAATACTGGTGTGACCTTGGGCAAGTTTCTTCACTTTGAGTTTAAATTTCATATAGGTAAAATGAGAATAATATTATCTTTATGGAATAACTATTTTAAAAATTAAAGTTAATATACATAAAGCCCCAGTACAGACAGGTATTTCAGTAAATGATATAAATGATAGTTGATATCTTCAGATATTTGATCCAGGAATTTAATCTGAAATTATGTCAAAAACACAGTCATCTGAAACATGGTGATAACTTTTGAACAACTTTTCTCACTCTTCCCTACACCTCCTAATAAGTCAGTTATATCTGTATTCCTTAATATCTTTACAAGTACTATTTTTTTATTGTTTGGTGGGGTTCAGAGGAAGGTAGGACAAGGAAAAAGGAGAAATAACACAAAAAGATAACAAATGTTTCAGCTGTTAAAACATATTCTGGTTTACAGAACCTCCTCTGAGTAAGAAAGTCCAAAACACTTTTATACCTGCAGCTGAGGGATTTGGTTTAAGAGATTAGGAAGTCCCCTGTACTTGAAGAAGAAATCTCTTACCTCCAAGTTCCTACTCTCTCTCTTTCAGGATTTCAAGAGCATGATGTACTTTGTACTGCACATCTCAAAAGTTCCCATTAATACTGGGGAGACCCAGCGAGACACGGCTGTGTTGTGCATGTTACCCCATGAATTCTGATCCTTCCAGTAAGTGTAGAACATAAGCAGAAAATGGGGAACTAAAAGAAGGGGTAAGAGGGAAAAGGAAGGAAGGTGGTGGAATATGATCTAAATGACACTAAATGATTAGTGCCAAAAGATAAGTAGGTCAGAAAAAATAACTAATATGCAAATAATTAGACATTAACTTACAGTTATAAATACTGTTGCTACAACATACTAGATATTAACTTCTTTTTGATCACTTAAACTTCCTTTTAAAATTAGCTTACCAGAATCATAGCTTGGAGGCTTCATATCTCCCTGATTCAATTCTGTCCCATATTTCAACTTGTGGTATTTGGCTCTAACAAAGAAATGAGAAAATACAAACCATCTTAATACGTATTTAAATAAACTTTATGATATGTAATAGGAGTAGTCATCAGTATGCAGTAGTCCTGGCTAACTTTCAAAAGTTCATAGCCTTCCCTGGCATAATACAAAAGTGCTTGCCATTATCATTTTGTTGTTGTTATACCATTGAGTGCCATTGTAACAAGTAAAGAAATAAAACTGGGAACCATAAATCTTCTTTCTGTAATTACAAATGAACCATTCTAGTTTATGAAGTATTCAAATTTTCTTGACGATTGCCAGAGTACAATTCTACTATGAAAAGCAATAGATAAGCTTGAATTGTGAAATAAACTAGTAAAAGATTAACCTTTCTCAAAATTGAGTTTTTAAAAAGAAAAATCATCTATAATACTCCCTGCCTTGCCAGGCAATTACAATTTGCCAAGTACACATTACACTGAACAATCCAAAGGAGGAAGGGGGAACCAGCCCAAATCATCCAAAGATATTCCAGAAGGAATGAATAATTTTTTTTTAACAGTCAAGGTATCCTTTGCCCTTTCAGGAAGAACTGTGAACAGAAATTCCTGTCTATCTTCTTTTAAAAGCTAACGGAATGTTATTATTTCTGGTTAACCTGATTTAACCATCTCAGATTTAACCACCTGACACCAGAAAAATAATTCAGATAAGGTGAAAATTTTAAAGGTTAACTAAAAATGGCCATACTGGGGGCTGGCCCCGTGGCTTGGTGGTTGAGTGTGCACGCTCCGCTGCTGGTGGCCCAGGTTCGGATCCTGCGCGTGCACCAACACGCCACTTGTCCAGCCATGCTGAGGCGGTGTCCCACATACAGCAACTAGAGGGATGTGCAACTATCTACTGGGGCTTTGGGGAGAAAAGGGGAAAAAAAAGGAGGAGGATTGGCAATAGATGTCAGCTCAGGGCCAGTCTTCCTCAGCAAAAAGAGGAGAATTGGCATGGACGTTAGCTCAGGGCTGATCTTCCTCACAAAAAAAAAAAAAATGGCCATACTTACTTAATGTATTTGTATATTTTGACTTGTTTGCTTCCTCAAAATACTCAGGCCATTTATAATAAATATTTGATGTAATAAGACTGCAATAACAATAATTTGAAAAACCAAAGTAATAAAGTAATAAACAAAGAATGAAACAGTAACATAGCCAAATCTGAAAGTTATTTTTTCTTTATAAAAGACTAACTGAGCACTTACCATAAAGTTTTTA